AAAAATGCTCAGATCTGTACGTAAACAACCCTTACTTTGGACAAATCCTGCAGGATAATGTTAACAACTGGAGGGTGACTGCTCTGATTTTAACGTCTGTTATGTTTCTGGCAGCTGCAATGTGGTTTATCGGTACTGTCAATTTCCTTCTTGTGTCCTTAGTTTAGAAATCCACCAAAGTTAACAATTGGAACCTTTGCAAGTAGGGGGTTCAACTGAACGTAATCTGGCCGAGCACTCACTGTTCAGAATCCGCTCGTTTATTTGCAAAGAGTGTTCTGGATCATGACAATCTTTAAACATATTGTTTGAACTCGGCTCCTTAATTTTTGATTAAATGAATTAAACCCGAGCTTGTGTGAGTTTAAACTAGAGTTCAAACTTGTGTTCAAAATCACCTTGGCTCATTTACATTTGGTTACGACTCTAATGAGGGGGAATCAACACATTGCTTGAGCTTGACTTGTTATTTAACAAAGCTTTAAAATCAAAATCGAACTTGGTTATTCAAGCAGATCTTAAACTGTTCATGAACAGATATCAAACTATTTATGAAAACGCCCTTTTATTTGCAAAGGATGCTTTGATAATAATGCAGTCTGTTTAGACACTACTATTCACGGGCTTCTAACAACCCACCAAAGCACTTGGTGTAAGTTCTAAATTACCTATCAACTAACAAACTTGTGAAATCCATCTTTTCTTTTGGCAGGGATCTTTCTTCAGAGTGTGGACAGATCTGATGAAGATATTGAGCATCCGGGCTCCATGTACGACGAGTCAAATACAACACCTTTGCTTGAAGAATGCCACAAAGACCACTGTGTCTCTCTGCCTGAACCCTAATTCCTTGCCAGAAGAACAAGTTAGTTGGTTCTTCCCGGGCCTGGCGCAAATATTATGTACATCCGTTGCTTTTATGTATCATTGTCAATAAAATAAGTGTTTTGAGAGTTGAAGGGTGTCATTTTAACTTTATGATAATTTTTAGGGTTTTTTGTACTTTGCATTCCGAAAGATTTTAAAATTTTCACTTTATACTTTCAAAGATTAAATTTTTTACATTGCACCCATAGTATGTCAAAAGTATTACAATGCGACTCTTCTGTTATTTTATATTATTTTTTTCGTCAAAAGTTAACCCACTGACACGGATAAAAAAATTAATAGAAATAACACATTATAACATTTTTGATACATTAAGGATGTGATATGAAAAATTAATCTTTGAAGGTGTAAAGTAGAAATCTTGAAATCTTTCAGAGTACACCGTGCAATTTATCCTAATTTTTATGATATTTATATATTTTAGGAATGATATTGCCATTCCGTTTATTCTGTTACCAAAATAAGGGATTTTTTAATTAAGTGGGTGGTTAAATGGTCTTTTTTTTTATTTTTTTTTATCCAAAAAAATAAAAAAATGAAGTATCTATTATCGACTACAACCATAGGAAGTATTTTTTATTTTACTGGAATGAGAAAGAGAGCACCCCAATTTTACCACGTTGATCCTTGTACTTGTGGACAGGTGTCAAACACAAATGAGCGTAATTAAGACCATTTTTTTTGGGTCAATTTTGACCATTTTAAATTACTAAAATAAAATTTTAGGGGTTGTTTGATTTGTGTTTTTTGTTTCATGTCTTTTATTTTTGTTTTTATTTTTTGTGAAAAACAAAAATAAAAATTTGTTTGGAATGTGTTTCTATTTTCTTTTAGATAAATTGTTTAGAAAGCAAGAAGAAAAAAAAAATGTTCTAAAAAACAAGGATAACCGAAAACACGCGGCCGCACAACCCTTAATTAATGAGATCCCTCATTCGAATCCAATTAGTAACAAAATAAGAGTTTTTTTTTTTGTGTTGATTATAAAAATCCTTTTTCCCCTTTCTTCTCTTTTTTTTTTTGGCTCATATCTCTCTCTATAGAAACTCACTTTTTCCAACAAAGACGAAGAATCTCAAACGAGGACGAATATCTCGGACTAAAATAAAGACGAAAAACGAAGATGAAACCCAATTTCTTTCTCTCTCTCTCTCTCTCTATATATATATATATATATATATCAGTGTTTTAAAATCCGGCCCGACTCGACGAGTCAACTCGGTGAACCGGTGAATCGGACCCCTAACTGGTCCGGGTCAATTAAAAGACCGTTTGTTTAAGGAACCCGGACTAAACCTGTTGAACCGGTCAAAAACCGGTAAACCCGTGAGAACCAGATAAGTTTAACAAACCGACCGGTTTAAGTTCCTTCCTATAAATCTGAGATTTTTTTTTATTTTGACATTTTCCCTTTTTTGTTTTGTCCTAAATCGTTCCACTTCCACTAGACGAGCAGCCTCGCAACGCCTCCACCACCAACCAGCTATCAGACCATCCTCGCCATGCCTCCACCACCAACCAGCGACCAGACCAGCCTCCACTCCAGCACCAGCAACGATCAGACCAGCGAGCAGACCACCATGCAGCAGCGGTTGAGCAGAGCTCCACCAACGATTGAGCACAGCCTCCATCAGCGACGAGGTGAGTTCCCTCCCCCCTTCTCCCTCTCCCTACTGTCTACTGACTCTACTCTCTCTCTCTCTCTCTTAGAATATATTTGTGGGTTGGCATTTTTTTTTGTGGGTTACGAATATTTGTTGGATTTATGGCCTTATGTTTGTTACTCCTGTAATTGTTCGTTAGTCCAGTCCTCAGTCTCTTTTCTCTCTCTCTTTGCTTCTCCCTCTCTTTCTCTCTTTTAGTCTCTATCTCTCTCTTTTCTTTGCACTGCGCCGAAGTCGAGGTAGGAGAGATTCACTGGCCAGAGCTCCATCGCCGATTTCCATTTCCTAGCATCCCTTAAGTGTGAAATAGCACACAACATAGCAGGTACTTCCTCTTCTCTCTCTCCCTGTAGTCTGAAGTACTCTGCGTTGTGGGTTTGTGGGGATGCTCCAGTTTAAGGATTTAATAGTTCACTGATAATGACCGCATGCTCTAGATTGGTAGATCTATTATAATAGGTAGATCCTCAATTATTTTGTGTGATGGATTTTCATTTTTAGTTTGCTGCAAAGTTTTGCTTTGAAGTGTATGTCATACGTTGATGTGGGTTCAATTCAATGGTTGTTTATGTGTGTTTCTCATATTTTCCCATAATTAAGAATGATTTGTAACCCCTCCACCACAAATAAATTAAATACTGAAAAGCTAAAAACAATAGAGAAGAAAGTGGATTCATGTTTGATAATTTTGGGGCTTTTGTTTCATCAAATATACATTAAGCATGTTATTTTTACAATTATTGTGAATTTTTAGCCTATTTATTATCATTAATAATTTTTTTTAATTTTTTAATTATATTACTGGTTGAACCAGTGATCCATTGACTCGGTCTCTCTTCCGGGTTAATGTCCGGGCCGGGTTTTAAAACTATGATATATATAGACATAGATCTACAGTTTGTCATTGTGTGTAATTGCTGTGTGTGAGTGCGTCTGTGTTGTGTGTGTGTGAATGTGTTGTGTGCGTGGGTGGGTCTTAATGCGTCAATAAACTTGTGTATATGTTGGGTTCAATTTTTTAGTGCATATATGTTGAATATATGTTCAGTTGAATATAATGATTTCCAAGCATATTTTTTTATTTTTCAGTTTTTATCACAGGCAAAACAAAATATTACCAAACAACCCTTAATTTTTGATCCCTTTGAACTCACCCTCAAGTCCTTTCAAGTTTCAACTACGGAAATCAAGCCCATCGAAATTCGAGCTACATGACTAAACTCAAGGGTGCCAACAGATTACCTTTCAGATACCAACACTCCAATCCATTCAAGCAGCGCCCACAAGTTTCTTTCTCTCTCTCATATAAATAGAGACCCCCAGTCTGTAATTTCTATCTCACCAGTCTCAACATTTTCTATTTTGGCATTGAAAGCAATGGCACCAACGGCAGCTATGCTCATACTGGGTTATAACAGCAGATCAGCTTCACACCCATCTCCTCCTCCTCCTACTCCCCCATCAACTGCACCAGTTTTCCAAGTGAAGGCCTTGGCATTGAAGTGGCTTTCAGACAATTCCATAATTCAACAAACGTCTGAAACAAAGCAGGCCATGGTGAGTCGGTCGTCTTCATCTTCGGACTCTGCTGTGGAAAAGAGGTATCAAGAAGTCCTTGAACTCAGCTGCTGGTAAATACAGATTGGCAACAGACCAGGTCCTGTGAGGTTGCTAAAGAAAGGTCCTACTTGTGTAAATTTTCTGTGAATGTTGACAATTTATCATGTACTGATTTATAGGAACAATGCTCTCTCTCTCTCTCTCCTGTTAAACCATGTTATTGCAAGAGTAACATATATTCCAAACATTTGCCAATCAAAGGGTTCAGTTATATCCAGGTCCATCGCTCTCTCTCTCCCTCTCTGTGCAACCGCACTACTCCGTGCCCTCCTAATCAGTGATTATAACACACTCCAAATGCATGGAGCCACCCGCAAAACCCATACATTAGATAAGCCCAATGAGTTAAATTTCGTTTTGAAACGGTGGAAACATTTCCGTTTATATGAAACTGAAACGAATCATGATTAAATATTAAAATTTCTATGTTTCGATTGTTTTCATCGATGTTTCAGAAATAAATTTTTAAATTTTTTTTTTCTTTCCATCTCGTTTTCAAAACATTATTTAAACGTTTTCGTTTTCAAGCTTAGTAAAATTATGTATAAGCTGAGATTCTAGCCACCTAGAATTCACTTACAACACAATTGATCAAATGGTAACAAAAGAATCACTTTGGTGTCACGGTTAAAAAGCTTGTAAAATACAGAAAAAATTTAGCATACGAGAAATAAGAGTTCCTGAATAAATGCAGCTCAATAATGGAAAAATCTCTTTCATGTAAACAAAGAAATATTACCATGACTCGCCAAAGAGATCTATGGTATATCCCAAAGAACTATCATACCCAACAATTCGCATTACATTTCGAAAAAAAAAAATTCGCATTTACACAAGGGAAAGCTCTCCAGAAGGAGTAGATCTTTTGACAAGTTTGGCCCAAGACTCATTGGCTTCAGTAATGACTTGCAGAGCATAATCCTGTTTACCAGAAAGTAATTCAACTTTATTAGCAAAGAACAGAATGACATGCACTACATATTTATCGGGCATATCTTGGTTGACATGTGATTATCTTTTTTTTTTGTTTTGTTCAATGGTCAGGGGTGTCTGAGTTAACTTTTGCACACTTCGATTAATTCTCTCTCTAATCTAATCAAAAACAGGTTATCCTCTCCCAAATTAGAATATTCATGGGAATAAATCTCTCGTAACTTGACTTTGACTGTCAAGATTCGAATTCAAGACGTTTGGATTTAAAGCTCATCTCTATTACCATTTGAATTACCCTTTGGGTTGCATATAAGTATCTTCAAATGTGTGTTTTTGTTTTCCATTTTTGTGATGCAGTTTTTCCCCTTCTTTTTCACTTTGAGGAGAGATGCTGGTTGTGAGAGCAGGCACCCACATGGGCAATTCTAATAAATACAAAATCATTCTACGTACAAAGTCCCACGACTCTATAACTCACCACCGAGTCCCATTATATAAACAGCATGGATAACATAAACAAAACACTGCTTCGTATCTTATTGAAGTTTAAGTGAACAACATAACATGGTTAAACTCATTGAGCAATTCTCATACATGTATAAAGTAACACACATTTGTTATACTCAGTTTCAGACTTTTTCATGTATATAATCCGTAAGTAATCGAAATGTGAACTCTGCAAATTCCACAATTTAACTGTTCCAAGGTCCAATGGCAGTGCAGTTTCGTAAGCAATATGGTATATAGGTGTTGTTGTCGAGATTATCATAATGCAACTTCTTGTTCCACATTTGGGGTGCACTTAACAAGTAAAGACACCACATGCATTTTGATGCACAATTGTATGTGCTATGAAATAGTCCACTTCACATACAATATACAGAAGCCAAGGGTCGAAGAGCAGTAACATAGGAGATAAGCACAGCGACAAAACTCTGAATGGATAGAAAATGGAATTTCTTACACTTAGAGAGCAAATTTAACATCATTCTGGGGTGTCAAGATCCTTCATCATTGATAGAATGATTTGATTCAAGCATGACACTCCTGAATGTAAGTAATAAAAGTAAGTATTCACTAAGATACCTTGTTTGCTGCCTTGTTGCCAAGACCAAACTTGTTAGCAGGTTTTCCATCAGGGATCTTGTAGTCTCTGAACCAGTCCCTGATTGCAGTAAGAGTGCCCTGAAGAAAATTTCACAATTAGTGCATGATATTGGCGAGTAGTGACTCTAAATTTACATATGACCTAATGAATCATATGGCTTCAACTTGGCTTTTGTCACGATACTATCAAGGAAAAAGGTACCATAGTTGGGGAACTTAATTACTGTGTCAAATTTCAATCATTTGTTCATTACCTTCTCCACACAAAAAAGCTGCTATGAATACGAATAAAATTTAACATACAATCTCTTATATCAGTGATAGCTTCTAACTTTTTTTTTTTTGCCCAAACTCTTACCATCTTCCTTTGAAGATAAATGGGAGGAAGCTGAGAGCTTATGGGATCAGCTTCTATTTGGGCATTGGTGAATCGGTGACAAAAGACTTTGATAATATTCCTCTATTTAGTATCACCGGAAGTTGGACTGCATCATGTGGATTGTAATGTGGCTCCATTTTTCATGCCTTTTATTTTATATCTATTTTTTATCCTTTTGTTTTACTAATCATTTGGTTGGACGATTTGTCCACTTTTGATTGGTCCTTGTAACAATTTTATTATTCCAATTTTAATAAAATTGGTGTTTCTTCTCGATAAAAAAATGTGAGATTTCATAAAGGATATACTAAAGTAAGAAAGATCCCCATAGAAACACTTTGATTTTCCATTACAAAAACAAACTAGTAACAGTATGAAGAATATGTTTAAGAATACTCATTTCTACCAACGTTTCTTGCACTAATGAATCGGCTTCACATGCACAAGACAATTGCGCAGACATATCAAAACCTTTTCAGAACATCAAAACCAGCATGGCATTTAGAAATATAGTCATGGCTTCCAACTTGATAAACACTGCACATAATAAATATTTGAATATTGTTGGACAAACAAGATTTGAAATATTAGCCTAACAAACAAACAAGCAAAGTGTGCCTTCGATTGTGGATTGAAAACCGGTCTAAGAAGCTGGATCACTAATAGCATGCTGCATGGTAATAAAGAAAGTGAAACAGTTCATGGAGACATTTGTTGGCATGTTTTATGAGCTAATTTTTCAAGGGGCCAGGGTAAGAGGATGCATCTAGATGGAAGCCCATAGAAAAGGGATTTTTTTAGTTGGGCATTATTATTGGGTTTTAAGGTGGCAGGTGCAAAGGCTCATTTAAACTGCCACACGATGGACAGCAGCCTTGTAGAAGGTTTAAAACATAGATGAATTATTGAGCCAAGGAGATTCTCTTGTATATGCGGGGGACCGGAGGAGAATATGTATCATCCTTGATACCATGGATTGAAAGGGAATTACTCCACTATCATTATGCGATTCATAGGGTCAATCCTAGAGCACTGGTCCATGTCTTGAGCAGTTGGAAGGGTGATGAAGGGAGATAGTTAAGCGTAGCCCCATTGTGCGAGTGATGCTGTATTTGGAAGGACAGTAAGAGGTGCCCTTTCAAGAAATAACTTGCCAACTGGGAAGATGAAATACTTGATGCTGGGCTCCATGTTCTTTGGCTTTTGACGATATCCTGTTTCTAGTGATCCTTCAGCTGAATTTCTGTATAGTACTATAGTAAGTGGTCACTTGATGTATAACTCTCTTTTTCCTTTAACAATTTCTATGCTCTTTGTTTGCAATGTGTGTAAATGAACTCACCCTCTTCATAGCTTTTAATGAAGTATCTTTACCTTTGAGAACAGTATCCACTTTGAAATACGCTGAAGTTTTTTGTCAAACTTGTTCTTACTTCATGGGGTAGGTTTATCATACGGATGCACTACTGCAATTGTTACCCCATGTTTTAATACCATTACTATGATTTCAGTGTAAAGAAAGCATAAAGATCTGGTGATATATAACTAAATTACAAGAAATTTCAGCTCATGCATAGAAAAGATACACAAATTTGTTCTTAGTCAGCAAACATACCGGAAAATGCTTCTCCACGTCATCAACATCATTTACAAGTGAAGCCCTTGGATCATCCAATGAAATTGCCACTATTTTCCAGTCAAGTTCGCCCTCATCAATCATAGCTAAAGCACCTAAGGGCTTGACTTTCAGAATCTGGCCAATTTTTCCACGGCTATCCCCAATTTCAACAACATCAACTAAAAAATAATGAAACCATCAAAATAAATTAAAATGGCATACTATGAGTGAACAGAAAAATTATCAAATAGATAGGAAAGTCAAGATGTTACAATGGGTGGTAGTGGTAATATACCTGGATCGTTATCTCCAAATGCCCCATCAACTTCATGGTTGGCAAATGACGGGTCTTCCCAAGTTTGTGGGAGTAATCCGTAATTCCAGTTTATATTATACCTGAGAAGGCAAGTGAACTGGTTCAGGAACATAAACAAAGAACTATACACTCAAGATATAGTTATGCACTGATGCTAAAGGTCGAAGCAGACATTAAATGTAGAAGAATCCATGGTATTCTCATTAGATCAATTAATGATCAAGATTCTGGCAAACATTAACAGTGTTATCTCTCAGGACGAAAGAGTTACAGGTTTCCTCTAAAGGTAGGAAACGAAAAATTCAGGAGGAACCGGGGGGGATAAAACTATGAGCTTCAGGGCACTGCACTAACAAAGAAAGATTACAAGTAACAATATCTGTCAGATTATATAAACTTATTAGGTTAACAAAACCAGAGATCCAGTCCAGGTTTTCAACAGTAATAGCCTTGAGAGCTAAAGTTCAGTTTTCAAGCCTAATTCATTATCTTTTCTGCAAAATAAGGAGCAAATATGCATTTATATATTATGTTTCTTTTCCTATACTTGATTGCCCCCTCCCCCTCAGGAACATTCCTGGGTCCACCTCTGCCAGCCGTCCACTTCTTGGAAGGACAGGAGGTAGTAGTGGACCTTGCTTCAAATATAACATGACTACATGAGAATAGTGGTGTACGTTGAGGAGTCCATCCAAGAGCAAGATTTGATAGTCATACACCATGAGAATAGGTGGAAATAATTAATTCAAGCACCTAAACAATGAAAAGGAAAACATCCACAAAGAAAAAAGTGCAACAGCATATCGTACGGGTAGTAGCGCAATTTTCCTTTCTTTGTGTCTTGTTTTATTGGAGTGAATGGCTCATCAGTAGCAACCTCCATCTTTGCACTTGATTCTTTGGGAATTTCAACAATAAAACTGAAGGCACTATCACCCAAATGTAGCGGTATATCATGCCAAGGAGAAACCTGCAACGTGAGCAAACAAAATGCTTTGTGACCAATAAATTCAAGTCGTTGGAAACCCTAAAATTTCATTCTGACTCTAAATTAATTAAGGAATAAAATAAATTGGAAACCATACTCAAACTATGCAACTGTTTCTTTATAGACCTATCTCATCCTCTGTTCAATTTTCTGATATCAAGAATGGAACAAAAAATATGGAATCTTACAACAGTGGGATTTTTAAGAATTTTTCCTATTGCATTTCTACATTTTCTCGGCTGAGAAAATTTCAGCCCAAATCCAGATAACCCCGCAAAGTCATATTCTATGCCTCGCAATTGCAGATATGTAACCACATTTCCACATGAAAACTGTTAGGCACCTCATTCGTATGAGCTACCACCTGCACTGCAGATTTTTATTCTTTATTTAGTTTTGGGATTTCTATCCTAAATTAGTTTTATGGATAGAAATCATGAATAGTTGGGTTAGATTAGGAGTTTATTGAGCCAAGAGTTGTAATTGGCAAGGAGTCTAGTTAGTAGTAGAAGTCTAGTTAGGAGGTCTATTCTATTTATATCTTCCTGAACATTGTTTTTGGCAGAAAAAATTTTAATAAAAGTTGGAGGACGATTCCCCTTGAAGTGAATCAATTTCTCACAGGATTCTTGGAACCTATCATTTGGTATCAGAGTAGTTCTTTTCCTGGTATCATCATGGTTACTGTGAAAGAATTGACTGAACGTGTTGAGCAACTGGAATCAAGAATGGATCAACTTGCGGGTGGAGTTCAGGAAATCACAAAAGCCATTCACGTGATTCTGGCATCCTTAGACCAACTGGCGATGGCCCCCCGTGTAGACCGACTGGCCCCTGTTGCTCCTGCTGCACCGCAAATGGCGGACCAACAATCAGTGAATTTGCAAGATAGACTGGTTTTACAAGGGCAGCCGATTCGTATTGACTTTCCAAGATTTGATGGTGAAGATTTGAAGGGCTGGATTTTTCGAGTTGAGCAATATCAACACCTCCATGGACTCACCGATGCACAACTGGTGCCATTGGCTTCCATTCACCTAACTGGAGTGGCTACGTCGTGGTATTGCTGGATGGTTCGTTCAATTGGTGTCATGTCTTGGACACAATTCACTAAGGCTTTATGTTTACGTTTTGGTTCACGAGAAGATATAGATCCTGCAGCTTCTTTGTCTAAAGCTTCATCAGACTAGTTCTGTGCGAGACTACCAAACAAAGTTTGAAATTTTAGCAAATCGGGTAAATGATTTACCTGAATCTTATTTGATTAGTTGTTTCATTTCGGGACTACGTGAAGACATCAAGGTTGGGATCCGTCTTTTGCGTCCTTCATCTTTGCCAGAGGCCTTTGATTTGGCTATTTGTCAGGAGGAGTCTGTTTGGGCTTTACAAGACTACTCCATTAGGAAAACCCAATAGAAATCAGGCTCTAACCGAAACTAGGCACAAAATACTTCTTCAACTTCTCCTTACACAACATCCCCAAGCTTACCACCCATCAAGCGTCTTACTATTTCAGAACAAAAAGAGAGGCGAGAAAAAGGGTTATGCTTCAATTGTGACAACCTATTCAAGCCTGGCCATCGCTGCAAGCGTCCTCAACTGTTGTTCATGGAAGGACATCATGCACCAGAACACGACTATGCAATTTCTGGCACCAATCAGCCCGAAACTATGCGAATTACTGGCTATTTAAAGAGACAGCTTGTTACAGTGTTGGTCGACTCTAGTTCAACCCATAATTTTCTACATCCTTCTCTAGCTCGATGTTGTGGTTATCTTGTGCACAACACTACTTCGATTCGCGTAACCATTGCCAACGGAGGAATTCTTCATAGTCATGGTAAGTGTAATGGAGTTGGCCTAAATTTGTAAGGTTATTGCTTCAAATCTGATTTTTTCTTATTACTGGTGAGTGGATGTGATATTGTCTAGGCGGCTACTTGGCTTCGTTCCTTAGGCGCCATTACTTGGGAATTTTCTAAATTAATTATGAAGTTTATTCAGGATGGCCAAGAGTTCAAGTTAGTAGGTAATAAATCCTCAATCAACACTGTTGTTGATCAAGGCAAACTTCACAAGTTGAGATTCCAAGCTGACTGTGTATTCTTGTTACAATTGGTGGCTGGAAACGTTGCTGTAATGGAGAGGGAGGTTTCTCCTGAAATCAGCCATAGTCCTGACCATTTTAGGGATGTGTTCGGTGACCCTAAGGGACTCCCCCCTACACGGACTCAAGACCATCGTATTCCACTGATTCCAGGTATTGTTCCAACCAATGCCCGACCGTACCGTTATCGTTATTTTCAAAAGGATGAGGTCGAGAGATTGTTAAGGAAATGTTGGCTACTGGCTTGACTCGACTGAGTGTTAGTCCTTATTCATCCCCAATGCTACTAGTGCGGAAAAAAGATGGTTCTTGGCGGATGTGCATGGACTGTCGCTCCCTTAATAGTATTACAGTGAATGATCGTTTTCCTATTCCAGTTATTGATGAGCTTTTAGATGAGCTGCATGGTGCTATGATTTTTTTCTAAGTTGGATCTTCGTTCCGGTTATCATCAAATTTGTATTCATGCACCAGATATTCCAAAGACTGCATTTCGCACTCATGATGGCCACTATGAATTTCTTGTCATGCCTTTTGGGCTTTCTAATGCACCATCCACCTTTCAAAGTTTGATGAATGATATATTTCGGCCTTACTTAAGAAGGTTTGTCCTTGTATTCTTTGATGATATACTAGTCTATAGCAAATCTGTACAAGACCATATGGAGCATTTGTCATTAGTGTTACAATGCTTGCACCAGAATCAACTATATGCTAAACAGTCCAAGTGTTCTTTTTCCAAGTCATCTATGGACTAACTTGGCCATATTATTTCTAGAGAAGGGGTTATGGTGGATCCCGAGAAAATTCGCTGCATGATTGAGTGGCTTAAACCCAATACTCTTAAGTCTCTACGAGGTTTTTTGGGGCTCACTGGCTATTATAGAAAATTTGTGCAAAATTATGGTCAAATTGCAGCACCCGTAACTCACATGCTCAAAAAAGACTCTTTTGGATGGTCATCAGATGTAGAAATTGCTTTTGAGAAATTAAAGCATGCTATGACAACCACACCAATGTTAGCGTTGCCCGATTTCTCTCAAGAATTTGTTCTAGAATGCGATGCTTCGGGTAGTGGAATTGATGCCATTCTTATGCAGCAAGGGCGACCCTTAGCCTTTGTCAGTAAAGCTCTTTATGGGAAAAATTTAAATCTCTCGGTCTATGATAACGAAATGCTTGCCATAGTCTTTGCGGTGAAGAAATGGCGACTATATTTATTAGGTCGCCACTTCACAATTCTTACTGATCATAAAAGTTTAAAATTTTTTATGGATTAACGAGTTTCTTCACTTGAGCAACAAAAGTGGGTTACCAAGCTGTTGGGATATGATTATACGATAGTGTTTCGAAAGGGGCAGAAAATCAAGCTACAGATGCTTTATCCAGGCAAGCTGAAGAATCTACCTAACATGCTATTTCTTTCCCTATATTTTTGGCCATTACTGAGATCACTGCTGAATGATTGACTGATCTTTCCTTGTCCCCCATTCTTACTCGATTACGACAAGGTGTGTCTACAAATTCGGGCTATTCTCTTTGTGATGGTGTTTTACGTTATAAAGACCGAGTGGTGGTTCCCTCTTCTTCTCCTTGGTGTTCCAAAATTCTGTGGGAATTCCATGCTTCCCAAATTGGTGGTTATTCCGGGTTCTTACGGACTTATAAGCGCATCCAACGCAATTTTTATTGGAAGGGTCTCAAAAGGGATGCTAAGAAGTTTGTTGTCGAGTGCGATGTTTGCCAACGGAATAAATCTGAAAGTATCTCTCCACCTGGGCTGCTACAACCTCTACCAATTTTGGAGAAAGTGTGGACTGATATTTCAATGGATTTCATTGATGGGTTACCTCCTTCATTTCACAAAACTTCTATTATGGTTGTAGTTGATCGACTATCCAAATATGCCCACTTCTATGCACTTGTGCATCCTTATACAGCAACTACGGTGGCTGAAATTTTTGTTTGGGAAATTGCACGTTTACATGGGATGCCTAAATCTATTGTTAGTGATCAAGACCCTGTTTTCACGAGTTAGTTTTGGGAAGTAGTTTTTGAATTGCAGGGCACTAGTCTTTGTCGAAGTTCAGCTTACCATCCCCAATCCGACGGGCAAACTGAAGTGGTTAACCGATCCCTTGAGGCTTATTTGCGTTGCTTTGCAAGCCAATAACCTTCCAACTGGACAAAGTGGCTACCGTGGGTTGAATGGTGGTATAACACTTCTTTTCAATCTTCATTGAAAATGACGCCTTTTCAAGTAGTTTATGGTCGGCCTCCATTGCCCATTGCTTCATACCTTCCCCGTACAATTGTTGTTCATGCTGTAGATGTTGCCTTGCGTGATCGTGATAGTATATTGTGACTACTAAAAGAAAATTTAACTGCTAACCAGTCTCGCATGAAATATTTTGCTCACCGTCATCGAACTGAACGCTCTTTTAGTGCGGGAGATTGGGTTTTTCTCCGACTTCAGCCATATTGACAAATTTCCTTGGGCCCCCGCGGGCCACATAAGCTCTCACCACAATTTTATGGACCTTTTCATGTTCTTTCATGCATTGGAGAAGTCGCTTACAAACTGGATTTGCATATGAAATGTCGTATCCATCCAGTCTTTCACGTTTTTTGCCTCAAAAAGAAACTTGGAGAAATGGTGCAACCTGCTCCACAGCTCCCTCCCATTTGTGATAGCTGTGTTACTATGTGGCAGCCACTTCGCATTCTGGATCGTGGGTTGTTTAAGTGCAACAACAGGCCAGTTACACACCTTCTTGTCCAGTGGACTGGATTTTCTGCTGCTGATGCAACTTGGGAGGATTATTCAGACTTTGTCGCTCGTTTTCCTGCTTTTCCAACTTGAGGACAAGTGGGGATTTCAAGGAGGGGTGGATATTAGGCACCTCATTCGTATGAGCTACCACCTGCACTGCAGATTTTTATTCTTTATTTAGTTTTGGGATTTCTATCCTAAATTAGTTGTATGGATAGAAATTATGAATAGTTGGGTCAGATTAGGAGTTTATTGAGCCAAGAGTTGTAATTGGCAAAGAGTCTAGTTAGTAGTAGAAGTCTAGTTAGGAGGTCTATTCTATTTATATCTTCCTGAACATTGTTTTTGGCAGAAAGAATTTTAATAAAAGTTGGAGGACGATTCCCCTTGAAGTGAATCAATTTCTCACAGGATCCTTGGATTCTATCAAAAACTTAAACCCAAAAGCTTAAAACTAATTAAATTTACACAGTTTGATCCACGTAACTACAACAGGGAACTATAAGTTAGCATGTTGACCATATTCTGATTATCAAACACCATAAAGATACCAATCAAATTAAAAACTCATGGCTTCATAGTTTTCTTTTCTTTTCTCTCACTTCCTCTCACTTCATACATCAATCAAACAAGACACTAACATCAAACCATAAACACATAAAAACACCGGAAAAAGAAGAGACCTTTTTGCCAGAATCATCGAGGAAGAAGACTCGGTAATCTAGGGTTTCGGGTTGGCCTTCCTCTTTGATCTGAACTTGGGGATTGTAAATTGCACTGCAAGTGAACAATCTTTTCTTGGGCACTAATCGATTGTTGGGGCAAAAAAAGCTCAAACTTTGAGGTCTTCGCAATGGCCCTTTGAACAGCAAAGTTGTGGCGGCAGTGGTGCTTGCTGACACTACGATTCTGGTGGCCGCCATTGACGCTGATTTGGTGGGGAACAAGTAGTGAAGTGAGCGAATACTACAAGTATTAACTGCTGCGTTAACTTCGACCACAGACCCAAATGGTCGGATTTGATTGGTGGGGTCTACTCTTTGTTTTAGTCACCCGTGAGACACGAATCAGCGACCATGATTAAAATTTCGAGTAAATTACACTTTTTCCCCTGAATTATTATATTTATTTCACTTTATACCTTCAATTATAAAATTTTCACATTATATCATAAAAACTTTTGGTTTGAATTAAACCCCACCTACTCAAGTAGACCCTAATAAAATTGGAGTGTGTTCCAATTCGAAACTCCAATTCTCCGTAGACATCCATCGCAAGTGGTAGCTCAATGAGTTCGTCAGAAATTGAAATCGTATCAGACTCTAATGATCAAAAGAACTCAGGACGAAACCCTAGCGAGGTACCTATAATTGATGTTTACTCTGCTTCAGCTTACGGAGATTTCGAGAAATTGCGAAAATTCGTTGAAGAAGACGGGCTTTCTCTATCTCAACCGGACGGTAGTGGCCATTACGCGCTTCAATGGGCTGCTCTAAATAATTTTGCCGATATTGTGCAATATATAATCGAGGTATTCTTAATTACTTTTGGTTAATTATTTTTATCTCAATTTTAATTGGAGTTGTTAAAATTTAGTTGAACTTGTGTTGGTGTTGAAGCATGGTGGTGAAGTGAATGCCACTAATAATGCGGGGCAGACTGCCCTGCATTGGGCGGCTGTCCGGGGTTCGATGGCGGCTGCAGACGTGTTGTTGCAGAATGGGGCACGGGTTGAGGCGGTTGATATAAATGGTTATCGGGTAATTTTCGAAATTGTGTTTCGATTTTAGAAGCGATCCTGCTGTGAATTTTTGTTGGGGTCCTCGAATGTTCCTTAAGAATTTTTTTGCTGCTTTTCATGGTTAAGTGGCTTGTAGCTATGAATGAACTTTTAGGAATTGTACGAGTCTTTGCAAGCATTTTCCACATGGGGACCAAACAATGGCGTCTCCAGGAACTTTTTTTTTAGCTATACTAGCTCTATGAAAAGCAATTTTAATCATTTCAAGATCAGTATTGTATCATCTCATTTGTTCGTTGGGTTGAGTAGGAGATGTGTAACACACCCAATTTGCATTGTGTATTATTGACTAGTTCACATGACTTTAGAATGCGGTGTGCAATGAAAGTCCAAAACTTATAAGACGTCGCACACACGCTTCATCGAAAATGAGGGATACGGCACTTGTACTTGACACCCTGGTTCAATCATCTTGTTCCCAAGCATTAGGAGTCTTGACCTCTTGGTTCTTGTGTTACCACAATACATTCTCTTAGGTCACACGTCCTTGTGTGGGATCCGTTCCTCATTTCCGTTTGGTGCTAGATCTAATAGCAATTGTTATCTCCCATCTCGCATTGTACCATACTGTTCGCCTTGAACTAGTTCCATGTGATGTGACTTTAAAACACGTTATCCAAAACTTAAACCATGTCTGCACTGCTTTAAAACGAGTTATACACTAAAGGTACAAAACTCATAATTACAAAGTGCATCACACACTTCACCAATAAATGTGGATAAGGTATGTGGGATTCACACCCTCACCTCACCTCACACATCTTGACCCTAAACCTGTGACCTAAATCTCACTACCTGGCCTCTTGGATCTTGGGTCGCCAAATGAACAGTAAGCTAAAGTGGATGACAACCCTAATAATAATGAATATGATAAGAAAATCTCAATTACAAGTTCAACAAATTATTCCAACATAAATAAGCAACCGTCTATTGCATAGCACTAAAACAATTAGACATTTGAAATAACTAAATGCAATCCAATCAAATAAAATTTGGGTTTTTTTACCTTGAATAAGGCATCTCTCTCTCTCTCTCTCTCTCTCTCTCTCTCTCTCTCTCTCTCTCTCTCTCTCACATGCACACACACACACACCGCCTGAAGTTGGTGGCTTGGTGTAGGGAGTGCTGATCATTCTCGTGTATCCAGTGGTTTTGAAGTAGTTAAATTTCCACGGGTGCATCTCTTTGAATGTCAGATATTTTCTGCAGGCGGTTCATGTTGCAGCCCAGTATGGACAGACAGCATTCTTAAATCACATTGTTGCAAAGTATCATGCTGATTTCGATGTACCAGATAACGACAGAAGGAGCCCTCTTCATTGGTCTCTTAAAGATATTCCATCAATATTCATTTTTTTTTTCATTATAATTTGACTTGCATGTTGTTTTAATGCTATTGTGGAGCTCTATGAAGTCAGACTTTGGCAAAGTATGAGTAGTACTTGATTGTTGGATATATTATTAATAAATTTGCTGTCTTATTGGTCCAACTTCAATCTTGAAAAAATGCATGATGCTTAAGTGAGAGTGTGTTACTAGACGATGGACCATTGTTGTGGGATTTGTGATTAAATGCTGAACTTCAAATCAAATGTTGAACATTTCATATTGAGATCATGATGTACTTTTTTCCCATTCCCATTCCCTTTTTCTTTCTCCTATCATTTTTCTTGGAGTGCATTCTGCTTATAGGTTTATGAGGATGGAGCTTATGATTTTAAAATTGGGGCTTGGAATATTGTTATTGGTCTTTATTAATGGACTCTCAGGACATTATTTTCAATCTATGGGGTTGACATATTATTAAATGTTCATGTTTTGACCCTTTGTCTAGAACAGGCACAAGAAAAGAGAAAAATTTGAGCAAGACTACATAATTTCAAACTGAATGGGGGAAAACACTTGTAAAAGTGTTCTCTTCTCTCCAATGTACCCAATTCCATGCTTAGTGTTACAATGACATATATCTATATTCAGCTACTTTAGTAGTTTAGTTAATGATCACAGTGTCTCATTCTCTAAAATTAGATGTGATTGATTTGGCGACATAGCACATTAGTTTTCATGGTTAAACTATTGACATGGAATCAGATTTAGACGCAGAATCAGGAATTTAAGGTAAAGCATGATGAATTAATGTAGATTAGCTTTTCCGTGGCAGCATAAGACACTTGAGTACTGGTTAATTCCAGCACATTAAGGCACTTTTTCTTGGATTCTCATGCATAATGCCTTTTTAGCCATTGTTCAACAGTGTTCGATGGTGATTCAATTGTTCGTCATGGCATTTGTATGTTTCTTCCTCTTCTTCTTCCTTTTCTAAACTTGGGTCATTGGCTCCATTTAAATTTTTTGTCCTCATGTGCGGTGTGTTTCCTTATTGAAGTTGAAACTGGAAACTCTCATATAAATGATTTAATAATTCTAATGGTTTTTTCAGATTAGATGATTTCATGACTTGAAGTTTTGGGGAATGGGCATTGATATGAGTTTGAATAGGAGTATTTTAAATTGATTATAACTTCTTAAAAGAAGAGCATGGTAGTAGAATTTTCCTTTAAAAGCAATAAATTATGTTCGACAAGCATTTGAATCACTCAAATTTAATCCTCTGGTGCTTCGTACTAGGGCTGCATACAATGGATTTACTGATACAATTAGATTACTTCTATTCAGAGATGCCTGCCAAGGGAGACAAGATAAACAAGGTATATTAATGTTGATTTCTGCATCCGTTGCGTCTTGGTCCTTGATATCTTTGATTTTTTGAAATTTCATATTCTCTATTAGACTGCAAATATCTAATTGCAAATAAAAATTGTGGGACAAAACTGGACATGTGCTGAAGGAAAAAAATCAATCGCCAATAAATTCTACTCATGGTAAACTCATGCAGTTAAGTTTACCTACTGAGATGCTATATGGTTTACAGCATAGGGTGCAATCATACCAGCACAAATGCACCGAATCCCATCAGAATTCCGAAGTTAAGCATGCTTGGGCGAGAGTAGTGTTAACTTTGATCAATCAAAGAAAAGTAAGAGGAAGAAAGATGAGAATACTATTGAGGCACAATTAGCCAGAACAAAACTTAAAGGAGAACTACATATAAGAGGTCTTTATATAGTAAATTAAGCTAGAGCAACATAAAAGAAAACAAATGACTAAACTACCCCTAAGTCTAAATATAATAACTATTCTAACACCCTCCCTCAAACTCATGATATGGTAACATCAAACATCAAGAGTTTGTGCAAAAGAAAACGGAAGCGTGCGATGGTGTGAGATTTCGTAAAGAAATGATCAGCAAGTAGCCAATACAATCAAACTATTTTTGCTGTTATGAAGGCCATAGTATGATACTCAGCTTCAGCAGATGATCGATCCACAACAATTTGTTTCTTATTTTTCCACGAAATATGACAATCACCAATGGAGAGACAGAAACCAGTAGTGGATTTGCGATCCATAGAGTCACCAGTCCAGTCCGCATCAGAATAAGTACGAAGTTCCAGAGACGATCAAATAGCAATGAGAGGTCCAACAGAAAACCAAAGCTCAACAAAAATCACTAGTAACAATGCTTAACAAAACAAATCCCAACAAAGAAAAAAAAACAAACAAACTAGAACTAGTCTCAAACCAGCAGTAGTCAAAATCAGAAACTAGAACCAAAAGAAGTAGCCAACGCCTAACAATCCAAAGTTCGCCACAATTCAACTTAACAACTTTGTAAATCAAATACTCACCCAACAGTTCGTTCACAAAATTAGCCCCAAAGGCTCAAACCCACCAATCAAAAGTAGAAACAAAAGTTTTCTGCTTAATCGGTGCGAAACAATGCAAATGGAAACAAAAGTTTCCTGCTACTTATTCAATGCGAAATAATGCAAATGGAAACAAAAGTTTCCTGCTTATTCAGTGCGAAACAATGCAACGCTATATCAAATAGCAAGCTTAAACGAACAAATCAAAAACCAACAACGTGACAACTAACCAATGTACAAAACCAACCAATCAACAAACTAGTCCAAAAGCCCAAAGCCACTGTAGCAAACGAAGAAGAAACAACCAGATTAACAATCAGAAGAAGAAGAAGAAGAAGAAGCAGTAGAAGAGAAG